TTGCCCTGGTCCGCGTAGAGCCGACCGAGCAAATCGATCGCACCGAGTACTCGGCTTTCTCTGGGAACGCATAGAGCCGCAACATTCATAGTCCACCGAGTACACACTAAAGCATGAGGTAGGAGTCGCTTCTGCAAGGCCATATAGTCACGACTCGACTTGTTTGGGACAGCCCATCCGACAAGAAGAACTGCAAGTTCAGCTAGCTGTTCACCATGCTCTCGACAGCCATAGTGGTTCGCCCACTTGTGCACCACTGGATGAGTCGTATAGCTCGCCGTGCCTTCCACCTCCTCAATCATCGAATAGTTCCGGAGCAGCCGCATCGCCTGCACGAACTTCATTTCATTGCTTCCCAGGCTCCCGATCCAGTCAGACACCTTTGCAGCTACCTCGGCGTTTGACCCACAAGCCTTGTTAAACAATCCATACCACATGTCTTGATTGTTCAGGCACGACCACAGTAACAGCAGCTTGGCTATAGCCTCACTCTGCCTCCAAATGGCGTCGTAGGAAAGAGCCCATGTCGTCCAAACACTGCGCCCCCCATACTCCTGAAGTGGCATCTCGGGCTGATTCTCCGGCCCGATCAACTCCGCCCACTGCTGCTCGTAGAACTCGACATACTTCTCAAATCCAACACCAGTCTCTTGCAGGTACGCGCCGGCCTGCGCGATGGCCAGCGGGAGGCCGTCAAGGAGGTCAAGCAACGGCTTACTTTTGTTCGGGTCTAAGGATGGATGATCAGCTTGGAGACATATCAAGTACCGATGACTGGTCCTCACCATGGCTTTTCTTATACCAGCTGCTGAGAATCGCCTGCGCAGTTCCTTCATCAACTTTAGTAACATGCTGTGATGTTCCGAGCTGCTCCAGCCTGGCCAGTCGACTCGTGATGAGGACAGATCCATGGTCGGCGGCGGGAAAGTACAGCCGAACATCGTACGCCAGAGGATCTGCGACGTGTTGCCCATGCTCTCGGTCAACGTTGTCAAATACGACCAGCCAGCGGCTGTTATCGGGAAGGGCAAGCCAAGCAAGCACTTCTCTCGCCACTACCTGAATATCACCCTCTCTCGTCTCGGCATATTGTTTACTAGTCTGCGAGATCTGGCCGTCGGGAATCCTGCTTGCGTTCCTCGCAATGCTTTGCTGCAGGCTGTCTTGACTGCTTCCATCGAGCCAGAATACACAGCTGAAGGCACGTTGGTAACGTCGCATGAACTCCACAGCAAGCTGCGTCTTCCCGATCCCGCCTAGTCCGTACAGCACAAACGTCGCTCGGCGGTTGTTACCCCTCCGAGGTAGTAGTGCTTGCTCGAGCGCTCGCATCTCATTTGGCCTGTCAATGAATTCTCTCGCTTGTAGAACACCTTGAAGACTGAAATCAACTCGATATTCTCCCATGTCTACGAAAGGTGGTCAGCTGTGCCTAGCCAGGACAGTCTGTATACAACAAAACTAACATTCTTTGCCTGCAAGATTGCCTGCACACGTTTGCATCTGCTTATACACCTCCTGTGATGTCATATATCGCCGTGTTGCCGCTGCCACCTCCTTCTTCTTGTCTGATTTGTCGAGGGCGACCTCCTCCAGCCCATGCGCCACGTTGAAGCGGAAGTATCGATTGCTGTCGTCCAAGTATGCCTTATCTCGTCGGAACCTCTCGGCAGTCTGCTCAGTCTCAGTAGCCATCGCAAGCAGCGTCCCACCTATGTGCAGCAGGTCGTCGTCGAAAGGCTTTAGGGATGGTACCCCCGTTCCTATCGAGACGACGCATCGCACCTTGCCCTCCAACGGCTCAGGACCCCACAGCAGCTGCGCCTGATTCCACACCTCCATGATCGGATTGTTTGCGCCTGTGCCGCCATCTAGAAACTCCTCCTTATACCGACCAACGGCGATCGGGTCAAAGAAGGACGATGCCGCGGACGTAGCTCGACACGCCTCCCAGATCTTAACGCTGTTCAGGAGGTCATTGCCGCTGCGAGGACTCTTGTAGCTTGTCAAGCACACTGTCTCGCTCGTCTCCTTGCTCGTCGCGCACACGAAGCTGGGCAACTTTCGTTATCTCTTACGAACAAGAACAACACGAACACGGGTGAGCACGGAGCTTGACTTACACTTTGCACGGAGTGTCAGCAGCGTCTTTCAGCAGGGTATCTTCCTGGAGACCCCGTGCCGTGATAACCTCTTTCGCAGCTCTCGCCAGCTCGTCTGAGTCGAATCTCCCCTGGAGCTTGCCCTTGATCGTGACTCTATGCTGCTTCTTCTTGAACACTCTGTCCATAATCGAAAGGTATGCGTCGATACACTCGTCGATGCTCATCTTCAGCCGGCCGAGCATGACCGCGATCAGCCTGGTCAAGCATTTGGTCAGTAGATTGACACCCACTTATTCCAAGAACCACAACGACATACCCTCCCGTGCTCGTCCCACCGATCATGTCAAAGTAGTCGCACGGCTTCGGCGGATCGTCTAGGTTGACAGCCTCCATAAGCTGCTCGAGGATCATGAGCGCTGACAGGCCGCGCACCCCGCCACCGTCGAGCGCGAGCAGGCGGACCTCCTTCTTCGACATGCTGAGCTCTCGACGTTTGTTATAGCTGTAAGACAGCTGCTAAGATTATTCGCGTGATGAATAGAGACCAGCAGCGAGGTTGACCAGATTATGAAAGGGGGAAGAGGGAAGGCCAGGCTGGACCAGCTGAAAGAGCTGCAACCGCCAGGTTTGCCTGGCTGCCTCTGCCATCATTCAGCTGGGGTGTTGTTGGCAATTAGTGGCTAGCTCGAGGTCTGCTGTGCAAGGTGGGGGGCCAACAAAGTTGCTGCAGGCGGGCATGAGACGGTGGGGCGTAGCCGCTTCTTCTCTGCGACTGAGAAGCGTGCAGATCGAGCGGAGGACCAGATCTGGGGTCCGTCTCAGCCCTAGCCGCTGCTACACTACTACTTTCGCTACAGTAGGGTCGCATGTGGAGTGATCATTGGAGGTGGAGCCGCTCAAGGGGTGGTTTCTGTTTCGGGCTTGGTCTTCCACGCTAAGTTTAGAGCAGGCTAGCGCTAGGTCCAGTATCTGCCCAAGACCTTCATGCTCGTCCTCTCCACCAAGATCTGTTTGACTTGTCTGGAAGGCAGGCGCTAGGGAAGCAATGTAATTAGAGGTGATTTTGGAATAGGAACAGTGCGTTACAGAGAGCAGAAGCTATAGTGTCTGTGATATATCACAATTAGCTTTAAATTAATGCATATCTGAAGTAAGTTAATGTCAAGCCTTTTTCGCTCCAAGTTTTGGTAGAATAGCCTTATCCTAGCCTTACCACCTCCCTCCTAAGTCGATCATCAGCCCTATGCGCGCTGCGGGGCGCGATCTCATGCAGCGCCGCCCCGTCGATAGGTACTTCCGGCGGAAGCAAACCACCAGTTCGGGCTAACGTGCGATCACACGTGGCTGTGCGGATTGCGTCAATTTTCGGATGCGTGTGTGAATTACATTACTTAGACAGCATACGCTAAGCCTTGTAGGTCAAGTGTCAAGTCGCCTGCCAAGAGCTGTTCAGGGCCTCTCTTGCCGGATAAATCCGGACTACATTCCTGGACTATAAAATATCTTTAGATTGTCCCGCAGGCTTTTGTAGGTAGGTGAAGATTATTTTAGCTGCACCGATGAACATGATTAATAGAGACGTATACTGTTATATGGCTTTAGAATAGGTGAAGTCGTACAGGTAGATGACGAAAAGATCGACAGCATGATGATAATTCATGTAATTTTCTATGTTTCTACTGGCTGTAGAAGCAGACGTACTTGGTCGACACCTTGAAACTCAAATCACCCTAATTCCACTAAATTGAAGGATCCAGTCTGACTATTTGTAGAATCCTTTTCGGCATGGCGGGTTTTTCGTTACGCAGGGACGGACGTTAGACTTTTGCAAATAGATAGAGTACATAGTAGCTCCGCTGACAAAGATCAACGCTAAACATATCAAGTATTGTATGGCCGCGAAACAGGCGACGCTGTGCAGGTAGACACCAAAAGGATCGACAACATGGTGATGAATGATGTATTTTTCTATCTTCCCACTAGCCATAGAAGCAGACGTATTCGATAAGCACCTTGAAACAAAATCTGCCCTAATTCTGCAAGATTCGCGGATTAAGTCTGATTATTGTCGAATCCTTTTCGGCATGGCGGGTTTTTCGTTACGCAGGGACAGACGTTATTCGGGATACGTAAGTCTTTTCCATGGTTGAGGTTTATTTCGAAAGGGGGAGAAGGGGAATCACATCCTATACCCATGTTCAAGGTGCCTCCATGGTGATGTAAGACAACACTGAATTCCGACGAACGAAACCAAAAGAGAAATAGGAAGGTTGATCGAATCCCCCTGTCTTCAGAAGGACCGGCCAATCTGACCGTTCACATTCTTCGCACTGCGGCGTCGTCATTGCCATGGAGCCCGCCAACCCTCCCGCGACGCCCTTTGCCGCCTCGTACATCGGCCTCGACCTCCGCTTTGCCTCGCGGAGCTGCCACCTGTCCTCCCACCTGTGCAACTCCCTGCCGATCTTAAAGCTCAGGAGGATGAGGATGGGTGACGACCATGACGGGGGGCGGCAATGATCCAGATGACGTCGGAGAAGCGGGCGGAGTTCCGGCCGAAGTAGCCGACAAGGAAGGTCAGGGGCAGAAAGAAGAAGGTGACGGCGGTGAGGACATTCATGCTCTCGTTCTGTTAAGCGCCCATGGTGTTGAAGACAGGGCGATGAGGTTGTCGGCCGCGAGCCGCATCTGCTCCAGGATGATATGGAGTGTTAATTAAGGCAACGAGTGATAGTCTTTAGCAACGGAGAACTTATGATTGTGCGCATCATACGAGATCCAACGATTGCCCTAAATCATGTTAGAGCAAAAAAGATCCAATATAACATTACAGGAAGCCCAATACAGAAACTGCTTGTACTCACAGTAGAGATTTGATATGCAATACGCAAGATGCGTTCGATTCTTGATCTGATGGTCGAGGCAAGTTCAACAGGGCGATCTTCTTCGTCGTGTTCTCGGGCAAACCAATCACTAGGAAAGTATGATTGGCTCCAGACTTGTCCACGAATTGTATAATCTTCTGGTAGTGGAACAGAGTCGACTTGATCGGGTGGAAACATGGGACTAGGAAGCACTTGTTCCGCCTGTTCCGCCTTTAACATCTCATTGAGTGAGGTGACGAGCGCTTCCCAGGGCGCATCGTTGAGAAAGTGCGCAATGCTGGAAATTGAAGAGATAGCAGACAAGAAAGACATGACGACATGGATGTGGGGTAGAACATTTTTGTCGCCGATCCGCCGACAAACCATCTCCATGGTTGACATAGTTAGATGGTATGCTTTTGAGAAGGTGAATTCAGAAGACAGGGATTCAAGTCTCTGCGGCAAATTCACGTCAACTGAATCCTCCACAGGCTGAATAACTTCGCTGGCCTCGTTATCTGCTTTGCTTAACTCAGAGGATTGGCTGAGACTTTGAAGGGTTCGCCTATAGTGGGAGACTACAATTTCACGTAGAATGGATTCGTTTGAGCCATAATCGAAGAGTCCTGCAATGTTAGTCATCCCAATAAAAACCCCCTGTTCCTTCCACTTTGCTGTAACGCGATTGATGTGATTATCTAATTGGCTCTGAAAGGCCTGCCGAGCATCTTCAAAATCCTCTGGGAACAACTTCTTGAAGAGAATCGCGTGCGCCTGAATGAACCGGATGTCAATAGGTAGTCCCTGGGAGCAGGCCGCAGGATTGCGGTCCAGTACTGGGTTTAGCAAGGTCAACATGGATTCCCGAGCACTGTCAAACGGAACAACACAAGTGAGAGATCTGCAGTAGTAAGCCAGCTGCTGAAGAGCGTTGGGCCTAGCAAGAACAGCCAGGTGATGATACAGCCTGCCGATAGATGGATTCTTCTCTGCAGCCTTGCTGTACCATAATCTGGCCACACCGGCCCACGTCTCCCGGTCCCGAAGGTCCTCGTCTTCGACAGCCATCCGGTAACGACCGAGATCACCGAGGTACTCCATCCAGGTATCCTCAAATGCCGGGACAGTCTCATATAGCAGAGCAACCATTTGGTAGGCTAGATAGATGAATGCGAGCATATAATCCAGGCTTTCGGGTAGCCTTAGTCGAAGCAACTCTAGGAACTGATGGATTCCGTGTTTCCATATTCGAGCTGGCATTGAGTACTTGGCAGGTACGCGATGCAGTGCAGACGTGGCAGAAGGGTGTTGGGAGGCTAAGAAAAAGTCGTGATGCTCATGCAACAAAGTCCTATGCAGCGCAATGAGGGCCTGCCATTGATCACAAGCAAGGTTTGACAGGGGCTCCCCATCTGCGTCATTAAGCCGTTGTTTCTCCTTCTCGTTAACTTCAATGCATTTATTCTCAACCATTGTCAGTCCTGCATAGATGGATTTCACCTCGGAGGCGAGCTGTTCTTGTGAGATTGGGCGGGACTCTGGTTGTAAGAGCAGATCTGGAAACCGGGTATCCGACTTTTGGAGTTCAATGAGTCCACGTTGACGATGTTGGGTATAGCCTGTATGCTGTTTGGGAGATGACTTAGGAGTCGAACCTTTTGGAAAGGGCTGGCGGTTTGGGCTTGATGCACCCTCTTTGAAATGGAGCTGGCTCCTATTCGCCTCGACTGACCATTCACTAGGGGGCTCTGGAGTTGATCGGTAGGGAGAAACAGTACCTTTGGCGCCTTGCTTGGGATCGAAGAGGCGGAATTCGACATGTTTGGATCGGGTCGTTCGATCCGAGGTCATGTTGTAGGGCAAATCTCTTGAATAATCGGGGTCCAGGATTTGGACCGGGCCGGGATTTTTGCCACGACGAGCCTGGAAATCGGATTCAGCGGGCCTCTTTTTCGATGAGTCCAAAGAATCTCGGCCAGACACAGGATTGAGAGAGAGTGCGCCTAGATCTGGAGTTGAACCGCCACCTGCGGTGGCTTCTGATGAGCGGTCTGCTCCAGCATTCCTGCAAATCACAGTTAGAACGTGACATTCGACCAGTACGACGTACACGTAACCGGATCAGCAAAACTTACGCCTTTTCGACCGCGTCCTTCACCACTCGGGCACGTGCCTGGTTGGGATCCATAGCCTGGAGTAGGGATGCGTGGTCGGCCTTTGCATGCTCGAATACTTGATCGGCTGACTGGAAGACCCTACCTGGACGATTGCAATAGGGACAGGGCAAGGGCTCTGAAGGGAATGTTTCGGTGGTCTTTGCCTGGGTTCGGAGAGCATTTACCCAGCGGGAATGAACATCAACGTTGCCGGCCATGTTCGGAAGGCCAACAAGCGTACGATTGCGGAATGGAAGCTCTGGCGGTGATTGGCTATGGGGAGTTGCTGGAACTTGAATGAATAAGAGTCTACTGAGGGACAGATTGCTTGCTGCAACAAACTGGTAGCTGGCAAAGGTGAAGAGATGTCGAGTTGAGAAATCCTTAGGAGAGATTTTAGGGCAGAGGATTGGGAGGGTAGGGTTGGCGGCACAGGAGGCAGCGTAAATATGGCTAAGGGGTGCTTTTTACCACTCGAAAGTCACACCCCTTGTTCTGCTTGATTGTATCCAGGGTAACTGCGTGACGACCAGCGCGATTAAGATATCTCAGATATGCGGTGTACTAGTGGCGGCAGTCTGTGCAGCAAAGAGGATGTCTGTGTAACAATATCAAGAGGGATCCAGTTATATGGCCTAATTTGCATTATCTTAATGGTACACTGGTGACGTACACGACATTCGGACGTATATTAGGAGTATATCCATGGACACATTGGCTCTCTATGCAAATTCAGGTACAACACGCGGAAGAACCCATCCATGGCTACATGGCTCGATCTCATGATCCGCTTTCCCCGTCCCCCGTCCCCACCCTCCTCTTGTCCACCCATTGAGATTCAGAGCGCTTCGATCGAAGAGCGATACCTCGTATTCAGAACCTGTGGTTACGGGAAATCTACTTTCCGACATAGATCTGCCCTTTGAATGGAGAATAGTTGGTGGCAGCGATTGATCACCTTCGCCGCGAATATCTATTGAAAACCTGTCAAGAGGTGCCGAATAGGAGGAACCTTCTGTTCCTTACAGCACTCAGTTCGTGATCATTTGACCAGATATCTACTCCATAAACTCAGAGTCATATGCGTGATCACTGCCTCGTCTCAGCGTCGCCCGATGGCGCTTATAGGCACTGGTAGCGCCGGTGGCGCTGGTGGCGCAGGTCGACCAATGTCGTGGGGTCGAATCCCTGCTTGGTTTACATGGAACAAGTGACAGATCTTATCGTCAACAACACAGACATTCCGAGTTCCCTTAGAAGAAGGAGGCAATCGAAGAGATTGTATACCGTGACCCTCGTTCCAAACAGCCTCGTGGGAATCTCGAAGCTAATGTCAGCAGTCTGGTTCTCATA